CAATTATTGTCGACATGAAATTAATAATTGTAGCTGCTTTTCGAAGTAGAACTCCACATAAATATGCCTTTTAAAATGAAAAGATCATTTGAAAAGAGAATCATTTTATGCAGTCAATAGGAAAGGAAGGATTTTGAGCATTTGATTTCATCCAGCTAATTTTCGTCGTATAATTATAGGTTTATATGTAGTTTCAATTCTCTAATAATTAGAATATATTAAACGTATATTTTTTCATTCCCGATGGTTATTTTACTCTACATCCTTTAATTTTTGTTAAATTAATAAAAGTTATTTCACAGCCCTCCTAAATTTTTTCAAATATTAAAGATCTACTGACGCAAAATCATAAAAAACAAATTAACTAGGAGAATCTTTGTCTGAGGGGTAGGCAACCTTAATAATATTTTGAAGATGGCGTGATCCGACTCGCAAATGACCAATTTTTTATATTTTTTCTAACGCTATTTGACAAGGTATCCCAACCACCGGCATCTACTTTATGTTTTGCTATAGAAAATTAACAAGAAAATTAAAATTCTTGTAAAAATCTCTTTCCAATTATTGGCGGCTTTGGTCGTTTGAAAGAAAAACGTGACATGTCAAAAATATACGGAATAAATTATTACTGAATATTTTTAGTCCGTCTCTGCTTAAGGTGGTTTTATAAAATATTGTTTTTAAAATTGTTTTTTCTAATATACTTCAAATAATCAGTGCTTAATAAGAATTATGCAGAAACTGTTAGGATGTACCTAGATAAAAATAAACTTGTTTATTATTTAAAATATTATATTAATGTATTAACAAGGTAATAAAACAACCATGTGTAAAAGATTGAAATAAGAAAAAAAACATATTTAAGCTCCATAATGAGTTATTACGCAATATCTTTAATAGAAGACATATTACGATGTATTAACAAGCAAACAAGACATACAAGGTGGTCATGAAATTATTATTGTTATGTTTTTTTTTTATTTTTCAGCTTTAGAATGAATGTATAATCTTTTTAAATTATTTTCCACTTGTTTCCATATCTTGTTTAGTCAGAAGTGAGTACCAGTTTCCTTATTTTCTATAAAATCATCTATATCTATTTTGCTTTTGTATCTGCATGTAGAATCAAACATACAATAATTGTATATTTATATGGACAAGATATCAAGATACAACGTTTAATCGGCATTAAATGGCTTATAAACTTCACCAGACACATAGTGCTTCACCATACACATAGTGCTGAAAACCAAAAAGCTAATCGAAGAACTAAAAGCAGGCAAGGTAACGATAGATAGATAAATTTAATTAAATTATATCAGGCAGGGAAGACTCGATAAATGGTATACCCTTCAAGATGAATCAACTTGGTGTAGGTACAGATGGCCCAAGAACGTCGGAAGGCGTAGAAGCTGAATTAGTAGGGAAGAATCAAGAAATAGATTTCTCCTTAAGCATACCCTCGATTTTCCAGGCGGAAATAATGGTAATCCATTATTGGATTTCACTATTGGATTGGATATCAGTTTCAAAAATACTTATTAAAAGTTTTAAGTCTTAACCCATACAGCACACTTCGTCCCAGAGACGTACATTTTATGTCCATTTTACATCGGTACGTCTCGGGACCAATTAGGGACGTACTATGTACGTACATATATAGTACGTGACCCATGTACGTACTATTTACGTACATTGTAGGACTTTACTACTACGGACGTACATGCGAGTACGTACTACGTACGTATCTTGAAAATGTTTGAGAACGCATTACAAAATGTTATTTAATTTTAATATCATGACTGGATTATTTTGGTCAGATATACCCAATAATAATGAATGGACTGGATCAGTGCATCTTTTCTAGGCTAACGTTAATTCAAGTCACTCTAACCTACCTCTACTTCTTTTATTAATAAATCTAACCCGACCGCTATAAAAAAATGATTTCCTAAATTATCCAATGACCATAATGCATGACAGCCTTTGAAGAAATCTGATGGGTTAAAAATGCAATATAATATGCAATCAAGCCTAACAGGAAAATTATGCAGTGCTATGTTTAAATTTCCCGCTAAGTTATTCGTTCACATTCGAGTCTTGTCGGAATCGGAAGTCGGGCGGTTTCTAATGGCGTTTTCGATTGGCAGAGCTAGAGCGCACGTGCGCACTCAGTGTATTTCCATCTTTTATTAATCAACGTAAAAAATAAAAACAACAATACACTGAGTGCGCACCTACTCCGATCCAGTTTTCGATTGTGTTGTATGAGTGGGTGTCATGTGTCATAGTGGCCGTAGGTTGTTTGGTTTCCGCCTTGTTTTCTTTTGTCGTTGCCTTCGTTGTTTCAAGGTAAGTTAAAGTGTAATAATATAATGTGGCGCAAAGATACTTCTAGCAAATATTACAAAAGGGCAAATGTTCAAATTAAGCGGTTTGAAAGAGCTCTTCAAGAGAGAGGCTCCATACCCTAATCAAAATAGACCTAGCACCTAGCACAATCACAACCTCGAATGATTGAGAATCGGCTTATTCATTTTTTTCAAAACAGAGGCAAGAATTAGATATTTGAATACTTAGTTTTCTTTTTGTATTTTGTAGTTAGAAGCAGTTCGAGAATAAAAAAAATAAAATATCTATCAACATCCAATAAAAGACAGAGTGCGCTAAGGGAGTAGTTGCCGGACCGAAGCCAGACTCACGGGTGTATCAAGACATAAGGGATGACCCTGTACCTGAGTTTTTATATTAATAAATAGTTTAAGCTGACTTCCATTGAATTATTTCTAATTAAATTCCTAAGTCGTATACGTCGTTGGAAAATGTACGTCCATAGTACGTACATTGTATGTCCATAGTAGATACGTACATTGTACGTACTTTCGATCATTTTACATCCAGTTTTGGTCCGGAACAAAACATAAAATGTACGTACCTGGAATTTACGTACATGCGACGTACATAGCACGTACTTTACCACATCCCAGTGACGTACCGGGGACGTACAAAGCGTTGGAAAATGTACGTCCTTAGTACGTACATAGTACGTACATGTACGTACTTGTACGTACCAGGTACCTGACGTTCGTCCCAACATTACGTTGGAAAATGTACGTCCATAGTACGTACCTGTACGTTTTTGTACGTACCAGGGACCTGACGTTCGTCCCAACATTACGTACATAGTACGTACCGTGGCTGTATGGGAAGTCATTTCTAAAATCCAAATGATTTAATCTTAAGTCAATTTCAATATAAAGTTTAAATGACTTAATGACTTGGGTTTATATTTTTGCTCGTATTTTTTACTTAAATCGTGATCTGCGAGTTTAGTCGGTAAAATGACTTAAGTCAAAATAATTACAGTCAATTATCCAGTTTTAATCATCTGCTGATGATGCTAGCATGGTTAGCGAAACGCGCGTCCAGTGTAAAAGTAAAATTGTTTTGGTGTATTGTGGTGATTTAGTGTTTTATTTTGCTTTAATTACGGTCAAGTCAAGACAGTCAAAATTCAATTTGATTACCTATTTTTTAATGTTAATATATTAAAAAATATTATTATCTTTACTATTAATTTATTGTAGGTACAAATGAGACTAAAACCACATAAAATAGAAAGGTTAATTTTCATAATAACTACAAACACAAAAATATGTTTTTTTTATGACATTTAACCGATCTTATAGTACTTTATATGTATCCATCACAGTTTAGATGTCATTGAATACATGTCCATTAAAAAGTGGTGATATGTTTTGTGTGATCTTTGTAATATTATATCGATGGCATAAGCTAAGGGCTGAAGGATTTTAAGGTACTCTTCAGTATATTCGAGATCAATTTCTTTCGTTCATCTTTCAGGCTACCTAAAGGAGTCGGGGATTCACTTGATTCACTTGAAAGATAACAGACTCGCTACGCACGCATATCTCGACAAATAATTCAAACCGGTTCCAAAAACAAACAATTGAGTATTGTTTTTTTATCTGCTGTCTTCAAAAAATTATCATAAAAATATATTATAATCTGACCCAAGTTTCTTATAAGAAGCCTTAAATCATTTTAATGACTTAATTAGGTATTTTTCTATTTGGGAATAAAGATTTAAATAAAGATTTAAATCACAAATCATTCGCATTGGGAATAAAGATTTAAATCACAAATCATTCGCAAAATTTCTTAAAAAACTTACATCAGCTTTCGAAAAATGACATAAGTCATTAAAATAATTTAAATTAAAAGTTTTCTGAGAACTTGCAGCTCTGGTAGCAATGTTACGCTAGCTTGACTACCAGGATACGAGTACCAGGGTACAACCCTTCTACGGCGTTGTAAAAGCTGTTACAAGACTGTGTGAAAGGCCAGAAAATCTCTAGAATGGTGAAGAAATTTACCAGGGCAGAGATAAATAAAAAAGTTCATAGTAGAACATTTGTCACAATTCTCAGCAGATCTGATAACCAAAGACAGAAAGACAGTCAAAGCTGTAGTGGCTCTACTAACAGGACATTGTAAGCTTAATAGGCATCTAAAACTGATGGGATTGACGAAAATTCATATGCAGATTTTATCAGTCTGAAGAAGAAACAACAGAATACATTTTATTTCGCTACGACGCGACAGCCTGGCAAATGTGCCGTTCTTTACTAGGAAATGATAGGCCATTGACAAAGAGCTAAATGGAAGGTTTAGTCGATAGGACTGGAGAATGTAACCTAAAGATCATAAAAGGACCACAATAGATTTGAATAGGTCGTAGTGGAACAGGTAGCCACCTTAAAAATCTAGTATAATCTACTAAAGAAAAAAAAAACGATAAATTAATCTGTTGATAGATATAAATGAATTAGATAATCAAAAAAACTAACCGCAACATAAAAGCAATAGCTTCCGAAATTAATGATAGTTAAAAACAGGATTCACTCTGTACGGTTCTCATCTTTGTTTGCCATAAAAAAATCACACACTGCTTGGAAATACCCATACCATTCCGTCATACCTGTACGTGTTTGCAGCGATCAAACGCTGCTGTATAGTTTTTTCTCCTGCTACGTTTTTTATATAAACAAATCTTAATGTTTACCCCGAGACTCGTTCTGAATTCTAATTAAAGTTAACGAATTTTCCAACAATAAAGAGAGTGACGAGTCATGATGGACCTGCTGTTCGCGCCGGGCGACCGTATCCTTGACATCTGAATCTGCAGGAGTCTGAGAGTGGGAACATAATATTAAGTAAGAGTAGCTCAGATTGCGAAATTGTTTTGCGGTGTCTGTGTGTTACCGGTCTAGGAGTTCGGTATGATTGGAACAACTATAGCAAAGGTACATTTTAACTTTTTTTGATTCTCTGTGGTTTTATAGAGTAGAATGGTTTTTAAAAATTTACTCTCACGAATTACTCAAAACTCATCTTTAATAAGTGCAAATATTTTCAGGGCTGGTATCTCGATAAAATAAAAAATATATTTTCTCTTTACGGTTTTTCAAATAAATCCAAAATAACAGTGTTATTTTACTTTGAAAATTTCCAAAAAAAATATTTTTTTAAGCTAGTGACACCAAAAATGAAGTTTTACGTATCTATTAACGTCCCTAAAGTGTATCTTTTTTGGCCGCTTTTTTTACTTTACGGTCGCTTTTGCAAACAAAGTCATTATGAGGGCAGCCTACTAGACACATTTAATTTACTTATTTGAAGAACCATTGTTACTGAAAATGAAAAAAAATGAAATGTTTGTTAACAATGTCATGTCTAAAAGTGGTATTACTTTTTCAAAATGTAATAAATGTACATTTAACACAATAATTAATAGCAAATAGTGCCCTAATTTATTAACTTCTTTATAACCCAACTTCTGTTTATAATACTGTAAATAATTCTGTACACATCTTTGTTACTTAATAATACACTTTTCATTTGGTTAACAAAAATTTGAATCTAATCTTCCAGTTTCCTTTTTATTTAGAAACAAAATTGTTAAAAAAAATTGTTACCTACTTCAAAAGACACTCGCTTAAAAAATTTTGTGTGTACCTCGACTGTATGATCTTTTTTGTCCTCACCTGAAATTTGCTTAGCCTCGGCCACGCCTCGGCCGCAACCCCTTTCAAATTCGGCCAAAAAAGATCAACTTTACAGCCTTGGTACACAAATAACTATTTTGCTAAAATTTTGAGAACCACAGGATCTTTTCTGGATTTTCCTTTTTGTAAATGTTATCTGCTACCTATATTGCCAAATTATCAAAAAAAACTCATAATTGTTTAACTAAAAACTATGAAAATTTCTAAAATTTAAAAAAAAATTCTAAATTTTCAAAAAAAAATTCGCAAAAAATAACACATAATCGTGTTTGTGGGGTCGAAATATATCTACTACCCTTAACAATATTTGCGCTTATTTAAGACTCACCCTGTATAAAAGAGGTATTTACAAAATTCGACATATTTTTTATTACGTAAATTACCCAGCAGTGGCTGGTAGAATTTCAATGTACAGTATCTCCCGTTTTGGACATACCATACCAAATTTTATTGATTTATATAGGCTTTACCAGAAATATTTTTTAATTATTACAAACAATTTGAAAATTTGCGTTTTTTTTTCATTTTTGTAAAGTGCATCACGAGCGCAACTTTTTTCAAATCAAAAATTAATATTGTTTGAATCTTTTTTAAATTTTTCTCATATTTTATCGAAAAAATTAAATATTGCCAAGAGAATCAAAGTGACTGAAATTTATACCTTTTTTAATTTTCTGCCCAAATAAATAAAATAATAAAGTGTTATAGGTATTTTCAAAGCGGTTCTTTTTTATTATTTATTATTTTTCCATATTATATTATTTTTATTTGTTGGTAGTTAATCTAGGAATGGTTTCAATTCTAAAAATTGTATGGGCTGGCTATTGTGGCTTTAATCTGAACATGTTAGCGATCAACTTCAATATTAATATGACAACAAACAATATTAATATGATTTTTTCATGACAGTAACATTAGAGAAAGAAAACTATATTTTATAGGTGTTTATGAAGACCAAAAGGAAAGGCATGATTTCATTTCTAAAATTGCTATAAATCGTTACTGTCTTTTTCAAAGTCGAATTGTAATATTTTTATTACTATTATTATATTTTTATTAAGCTTATTGAGTTCAACCAAAAAACAAACAATCGGGAAAAACGCGCCTTGATTAAAAAGTATATTTGATATCAAATAAATTTTTAGTTACGTAATCGAGGGCGCAATTTTTAAACTCATTGTTACCAACCTTGAACATATTCGGCGCCGCGCCGCGCCGGGTTGACAACTGGAATTTAAATTTCGCGCCGGGGATTCAGGCGGTAGCTCTGCTGTAAAAAACGTCAAGTTGCTACATTTATTTATTTATTTCGTATATAATAGTGTTGTGATACTTTAAACCTAGAAATGTTTACTAACAGACCTTGCAGTCGAACATTGTTCTTTTTAGAACCTCTTTTAGTGGAAAGTGTACAAGATACCTTAATAGCCGTAAAAACTCATCGCAACTTTATTAGAATATTTTGAACAGAAAAGCGGTAGTAATGGCCCTTTATATGTTCCTTAAGTGCTGTTAAGAAGATGAGTTTTGTTGATGTAAATAATAGCTGTTTATACAGGGCTGCGCACCTCATTCGCCTCGGTTGATTATAAGAAAATGAAAAGATATAGAAACAAAACATTTTATGAATATATGTAGGAAGACAATGTGCATAATTTAAAATTATTGTGAAGTGTACAGGGTGGGTCAAATTCGACGCTTTTAAATGGAAACACCCTTTTCTATAGGAGATAGACAAAAACTAATATTGGTGTCTGGAGCTCAATTTTTGTCGAAAACATGATGGTGAAAACCGCATATCGATATCTGTTGCCGTTTCGGAGTTACGGGGTGTTTTTCAAAAATATGCATTTTTAACAAATCGGTGTAACTTTTTTGCTATGGAAAATATTTCCCAAGCACCTTTTTACGTAGAATTTAATGGTTTAAGTATAATTTTTTTAAAATTAATAATTTAAGAATTATCAACAGAAAATTTGATTTTTTATATGGGACACCCTGTATATTTTTAATTTGTTGAAAAGAATTTAAAATTACCTTTCCAAAAACATAACACGCTTGATATATTGCTCGATTCTTCTTCGAGATATAGAGTATATAAAAATTCGCCCGCTTTAAATAAGTAGGCTTTGAACAGCACCAGCTGTAATGCAAAAAAATTCTAGCTGTGAGCATCAATTAAAACGAAAATAATATTTGCTATGAGAGATGCAGAATTTTATAACAATTTAAAATATATTTAACCATCATCAACATATTTAAACCAGATCTAATAACAATAAAAATAAATAGCAAACCAAGACATGCGATTTTGCTACAGGTGCAAAAATTTTCTGATAACTTCAGCGTTCAGAGGCGGCGCGTCGTCTAGCTGGAAAAATTTTCGAGTTCCATTAAGGGCATATCATCAATAAGGGGTCCAAAGCCTACTAGTTAAAAGTGGCGAACTTCTTCAAAAATTCTGTATTTCGAAGGGGATTATAACAAAATATCAAGTGTGCTTTGTTTTAAATTCTTTTCAATTAATTAAAAATATAGAGGGTGTTCCAAATAAAAAATCAAATTTTCTGTTGATAACTCTTAAATTATTAATTTTAAAAAAAATATACTTAAACCATTAAATTCTACGTAAAAAGGTGCTTTGGAAATGTTTTCATAGAAATTCAAAATTTTCCATGGTAAAAAAGTTACAGCGATTTGTTAAAAATGCACATTTTTGAAAACACCCCCTAACTCCCAGACGGTAACAGATATTGATGTGCGGTTTTCACCATCATGTTTTTGATGAAAATTGAGCTCCAGACACCGATATTAGTTTTCGTCTATCTCCTAAAGAAAAGGATGTTTCCATTTAAAAGCGTCGAATTTGACCCACCCTGTACAGGGTGTGTCAGAACTAAGATCTATACCAAAGTTATATTTTTTCTTATGGAACACCCGGTATTTTATTTTATTTTTGGGTTCTTTGTCATAAAATAAGGCATTTATTATAAGGGTTTAATATGTTTAAAGCTTTGGTTTTTGGGATATTTAAAGATATTTAAATATGCATGATATTATAAAAAAGTTTGTCAACACCTTGTACATTACTTTTCAAAATTAATTTTGTGCTGACTTCCAAGCCAGAAAAATAAACTCCACTGAAAAATTTGATTGCTCCCTTTAATGTATACAGGGCATCAAAAAGAGCTGGTCTATTTTAAATATTTATTTTACATAAAAACTTCGTTATTTCAAATGCAATACTATGTATTTTTTTAAATAAGTCGAAGCAGATTTAAATGCTCTTTCAAACTATATTAGGGTTTCCTATACCTATCTGGCTCAGATTTTGAATAAAAAGCGATTTTTCAATAAAATTGTAATCAAGATGGCTGGTGTCGCCATGGCAATTTTCTAGTGACGCTATTTTCAAAATCGACATTAGTTTATGGACTTTATTTAAATATATAACAGGTTATTTTTATTTAATTTACCTACAATAATGCTAAAGTAAGTATTTATTATTTTATCAAGAAAAATGAAGCTGTATCTGCTGGCGGAAGGAATAGATAATATGTTATTAGTGATTTTATTTTGTGACGACAATTGCTTCTTAGCCTCAAAGGTTTATGCACAAAGATATCCAAATAGCAATTTTCTTGACAAGCGTTTCTTTGAAAAAATACTTTTCCTATTTCGCAGAGCTGATAGTGTGGTGTATGAAAAACTTATTAGGCAGAAACCTGTCTTTGGAAGTGAAGAAAATGAATTTGCCTTAATTGGTTCTTTTTGTAGAAAATCCAATATATCTACAAGTCATTGTAATATAAATCAAAGAACTATTTGTGTATTTTTCTTGATAAAATAATAAATACTTACTTATTAAACTATTGTAGGTAAATTAAATAAAAGTAAACTAAAAAAAAACCTAAATTTAAATAAAGTCAATAAACTAATGTCGATTTTGAAAATAGCTACTAACTGTCACTAGCAAATTGCCATGGCGACACGAGCCATCTTGATTACCATTTTATTGAAAAATCGTTTTTTATTCAAAATCTGAACCAGATAGGTATAGGAACCCCTAATATAGTTTGAAAGAGCATTTAAATCTGCTTCGACATATTTTAAAAAATACGTAGTGTGGCATTTGAAATAACGAACTTTTTAGGTAAAATAAATATTTAAAATAGACCAGCACTTTTTGATACCCCTGTATACATTTAAGGAAACAATCAATTTTTTTAGTAAAGTTT